GATGGATGGACAAAGTTATCAGATATTTGTACCACTTGAGTACATAAGTGTCAGATGTACTGAGTCCTCCATCCTGTGGGCCCAGTTTTTTTTGTACCTTCTGGTCTTCACCCCGACACGTTCTGTTTTTAAAAATCAACCCACCACCGTTTTAAACGGTTGCCAAGGTGGGGCAGCCGCTGAGCATGGCTGGTTTATAATACGCTTTGAGTTGTTGTGTGCATTTTATCTAATTGCTTTAATTTCAGCTCAATGCCTGCAGCCTTTGGCTTCCTCTGGTTAACGTTGATCTTCAAAGCTTCCACAACACGCAGCACAAGAGGCACTTTGTTTCCTTCCCAAATGTGATCTCAATGAAAAATAAGTCAAAGCAGTGAAATCCAGTTCTATCTGCCTTCAAATGATCAATTTCTTCTCAGCGCTCATCAGCCTGACACCTCTCTGGCAGTAAAGAACTGTGCATTTGGAGAGGGAATAAAAGAGGACGGCAGGTAAATGATATTCAAATGTGTCATCTCTTCAGAGAGAAAACTCTGCGCTCCCGCAGGAAATGTCTGATGAATATTAATATGTGGTAACAACAGTAGCGGCGTTCCAGGCCTGTCAGGTCTGGAGACAGGTTTCTAGTTTGAGGGCAGAGAGCGTCGCTTCTCCACCTCTCACAGCTTTGTCAACTTGTTTTCCCTCTGCACTATGTGGGAGCTTTGTCGCCGGGCTCAGGATTTCTCTCCGCTTTGATATCTCTCCCCAGTTTGCCTTTGGTGTGCACTTCACAGGCACTGAGGCAGCACTCATTAACACACTCTGACAATGGTTTTCCTCCTCTTTTATGCCACTATACTACCTGCCACTCTACCTAATTGTCCCATGAGGGACACAGCCACAATAAGGAGAAAGAAATGCTCTTAATTCACCTTATATTAGCATTTGTGCTAATGTCTGACAAAACAGCATAATGGTGTTTTTCTAAAGTAAACGTTAAAGTGGGGAAACTGGAATAAGTCGAGTTGCAACAGTTTTGGGAAAAAAATCTTGTGAATTAAATTACAGACGCTGGCATCACACAGTGTAATTCACTTTCTTTAACAGTGGTGTTGTCAATTTAATGACAGAAGAATAAAGCTGCCAATAATGAGCTTGTCTTATCTGATTAAAATATGGATCTCTAATAAAATCACATTAAATATAACAACTGGATGAACATTTGATTTATTTATTTTTGCTTATTCTTTATTTTTAATATATATATTTATTTCTTGTGTGTTTTATTCTTTATTCTTATTCATCTTTTTACTATCGTTTCGGTGTGGAGCAGGTGTACGGAGCATTGCACTGTGTGGTACACCAGGTATAACTGTGTCTGTGACCAGTAAAGGTCTTGAATCCTTGAGTCCATCATGAGGCTGGATTGTTGGTAGTGTTTCATACGTTGAATTTATGCTTTAAGATGAAAGCTAGAACATGTGTGAGAACTTGGAGGAGACAACGGTTCAGATTACAGCATGTCCAGTCAGGACACGTTCATGCCGGCGTGTCCGCCTCATTCAGCAGCGACCTGACGAAGACACGATTCTAAAGCACTAAATTCATACTCTCTTTTCACAATCTGAAATCTCACTCCTGTTGTTATCACATCACAGTTTCTCACTGATTATTTGTCATCAGTGACACGGTTCAACCCGACTGATGAAAACCGTCGATACACTTCAGAGTTTGGCACCGTGAAGGTCTTTAATATTGTATAGCCTCTATTCTACTTTCATGTCAGTTTCAGACAAGTTTGTGTGTCAGACCTACACCATTTAATTACACAACTGCAACCTACACACACACACACACACACACACACACACCCTGCGCTCGTGTGTCAGATGGTGTGTATGTGTGTGATTAGGAATTCACTTTTATTTGCCTTGTTGCTCCACAGTAGGGAGGTGGAGGGGCATACAGCAGGAGTCTATGACGAGATCATCCATTTTTAACCATTTTACACACACACACACACACACACACACACACACAAAGGGCTCCACCTCCCTCATGTGCCTGTTAGGATGGTAAACAGGAGGGTGTGTTCTCTCCACATACATACAGTAGACACACACACTATGGAGAGTGATGAAGGCAGCAGTGAATGTGTAATGACAGCTGCGCCCTGTCGTCTCTCAGAGCCGACTGGCATTAAATGTGGGCGTGCAGTGTTTACTCCGTGTTTGTTGTTTTTACATGAGGTCTAAGTGAGCTGACAGGTTGTAGAGCCAAACCCCGGATCAGCTGTCAGCAGCTGTCTATCAGGAGGCAGCACACACCCCGATCGCTCCCATCACTTCACCCAGCAGCTCATCAGTTTCAGAATCAGGCTTAGATCTCAGTCTGGAAGCTGCAACCCCATTTCGTCCTCTGTTTTTACAAGATCTTTAAACGTACTGTTCATTTGCTCGGTTCAGATCTGCCCTGATGAATCCTACTGAGGGTAAAAATGAACCAGAAGCCAGTTTGATTGAATGAATGACAGAAATAAAAACTCCATATGCAATAACTCCCTGAACCCAAAACCCGTCGGCAGGTTTAAAAGGCAAAGTATTTTTTCTAAATCAGCAACATGATGAGCAGAACTAGCAAGAAAGTGCGACAGTGAAAGTCCTACGCAGAAAGTTCTACTGGGACCAGCCCGACTAGTTATTATAACAACTATGAACAATAATGAACAACTAATGATCCTTCCAGCATCAAGCCCTCCTCGTATCTGGACCTCCGTCTTGACAATCCGACAGCCTTGATATCCGACATAGAAGAAGGTTTTACGTTTAGTGTCGGATTATCGAGTCATGACTGTATTCATAAGAACTGTGGGCACTTTGTGAAAACACTGATCAGCTTCTATGAATGTCATCATAACGGTGCCACACTGCGTAAATAACGGATGTTCTTCTGGCCTTCAGGTGCAGGACTGAATGTAGAATACAGTGAAGAACATGAAACACCAAAAACATGACAGGAGCAAAAAGTGTCCAGAAACTGGGGTTCAGAGGGTTAAATAAAAAAATACTGCTGCAAAGGACACTAGATATTTAAATAACAAATACATCCTTGAGAGACATTTCTATCACCCATGTGGGGCTTAAATGAGTGAATGATGCTCCTGCTGTCCACTCGGCGGCTCTTACCTGGTCCCAGTCTATACTGCGGAAAAATGTGTGTGACTTGATATCTGTGAAGCCCGTCTGGACCTGGCAGCCCAGCCGCTCCTTGGGATCCTGTGGAAAACACATTTTTTGTTGTTTAGAAAACAAAACAAAACACACACCTAAATGTAATTTCTTCCTCTAGTCTCTATGCTAAGCTAGGCTAACTGCTTGCTGGCTGTACTCCAGTCTCTGGTCTTGTCACTTGGAGACTGGCACACTTCTGCCTTCTATTTTCAGCAGCAGCAGCTTCATCTGGTTCCTCCTTCACATCCAGCACAGCGCTGGCTGCCTGATGGAGGAACCCTCACATGGATCACCGTGTACGTTACAGATCTTGTGTGGCGTTCACTGGTCTTAATGTCTTACTGCCGGTGATAATGCCAGGCAGAGTGAGCCCAACGCAGAGGCCTTCCCCGGCTGTCCACAACACAGCCCTGGTCTTGGCCGTGATCCCACACATGGTGATTTAAGAGAAAAAGCGAGCGCTGATGAGAGAGGACTCCTCTCACCTTGTTTAGAAAGCCCTTGAGCACGCTGGCAGCTTTCACCGACAGAGACCTTGGGATGCGGATGGGCTTCTCAAGAATAACTGTTGGCAAGAAGAGAAGAAGGACAGCAACAAAGGAAGAGAGAGAGAGAGGGAGAGACAATAAAAGGACAATCGTGAGCAGGGAGGAGGATGATTCACAGTCCAACCTGCCTGTGGGTGACCATGTCTGCTGCGTGGGAGTCAGAGGAAGGGAGGAGATACAGAGGACACTCTTCTGTTCGTTCTCTCACTTTTTTTTATGGTCTACTAATAGCCTTGAGACTCCCACAGCTAAACAATGTCATACTCACAAGAACAAAAATGTGCTGAAAAATAGTTTTTCCCTCCAAACCTAAATCCAAGGATGCGGTGCTACTTCACAGATTAGTGCTTCACTCTCAGTTATTTTACTTTCAATTACTGTTCAAGGCGACGTGACCGCCGGCGTTTCAAAATAAGACAACCGGCTGCTGCGCTGAGAAACAGGAAGAAAAGCAGAGGACGGTCAGCAAGCGGCGTTATTCTAAAGCGTGGCCTCTCACTTTTATGAGTGTGTCGACGGCACAAGACGAGATATATATATATATGTGTGTATATAACATGACGAGACAAAAAGAAAGAGGACAGTCATAAACGCAGGCATAAGCAGCCGACAGAAGGTGTGTGAGTAAAACCAAACAGTTGCGTTTGTGTTTTCTCGTTGTACCACGCAGCAGGCAGTAATATGAACGTGTAGGAGGTGTGTGTGCAGTGACGAAGGGGGAAGACAGGGATAAAGTTAGAGAAAGAAAAAGAAAGATTGAAATTAGCACAGTTTTTTTTAAAAGGAAAGCAAGAAATACAAGAAAACTGTTTACAGAATAACACATCACAACCTTTTTTCTTCCCCGTCCTCCCTTCATCTCCTCCTGAACGAGGCCAGAGCCTGTTGCTGCTCTGTGGAGCTGCTTCTAAATAAACTACGGTGCTGAGATTTTCCCAATAAAGGAAACATGCACCCAGTAATAAGTAATAAACTGAATTAGTTTAGTCGTCAGTTCATTGAAGATTTTTGGTCTTTTCATGGGATCAGTTCACTACAGTGTCATCGTTTGTTCACACCAACATGACTGTAGGAAGCACAACTTTAAGGACGTTTGTTATTGATATAAATACAAACGGAGCATTCGTAGGATGTTTACCTCTACAGATGTCTTCTATTGGTGCATATTTGTCAGATGTAAACGTTTCACATGTCGAGTGGACCAGAATCCCTCCACAAGCAGACGTATAACTGCAGTTGTTACTGATAAAGGTTTCCAATAAATCATCATTTAAAAGCTGTAATTTGTGTTTTATGGGTTATCTCTGTCTGATATTACATAAATATAAATATTAGTTTGAGGATCTGAAACATTTCAGTGTGAGAAATATGTAAAAAAAAAAAATAAATAAAATAGGACAGAAAGTCTTTATCGTCATTATACGACTACAGCGTGACTCCATAACCCGACACTAAACGTAAAGAATCAGCGCTCATGGCTGTCGCTATGTTAAGGCTGTTTTTATGGGTTCTGTTGGTTTTTCCTACAAACCTGTCTGATAGCAGGTTTAAGATTGTTAAGGGTCGATTATCACGACGTACAAGTAATGACATTTAAAGAGCTGCTCCTGAGGCGCACTGACAGTATACTCTATTACACATACAAGACATATATTAAAACCATTTGCACAACCTATAAAACACTAGAAAACATGATTTAAAAAACAATTGCCACAGCAGAGTGATGGTTGGGTAATGCAGAGTGAAGTGGTTCTTACATCCAGGTCAGGTAGACTTTATATACATAGAAGTGAAGAATAAGGAAACGGGCAAATACTTCTGTTTTCACAGCCCTGTATGTATAAACTACTGATTTATTTATTCATTCATGCTCCGTTCTGGCTCCTCTTGTTAAAAACCCAGCCGGCCCACTACGGTTCAGCTTTTCCTCTTACAGCCAATCACTGGGAAAATTACACCCAAACTGTAAAAGCATGGCCGTGTGGTCGACCTGTTCTCTGGAGCTCTTCAACACCACAGCTGAATAAATATAGGATAATACTTCAATTAAAAACCAAACAGTGGGATGAGACGGCAGCTTAATGGTTATTGGAGTCTCAGCTAATCAGGGACTAAGGTTTAGTTTTGTAAAACTACAGTTTCCAAAGTTAGGCGTGATCTCAGCCTTAGCCTTTATCTCGTTATATTTCAGTTCTTTTACAGGTTTTGACGTGAATACTGCTGTGTGGCTGATTTCAGCACTGATTCAAATGCTTGCCAGTCTCTGGAAGTCTGTCTAAAGCCCTGGGCTTGGCATGTGGTGCATCGATTCCCAAAGTAAGGCCTGGCACAGGGTCTAGCTAGGTGGCATATGGCTGGGTGGCTCCTATAGTGAAAGGGTTAGTTTCCGTTGGCAGGCGTTCATCCAGGATCCTGCTGCTCTACCGGTAAGACCGCCAGGAGGATGGTACTGGTGGCAGATGCTAGCCGTGGTGCCGCGCTATGCTCCTGACAGTCACAGCTGAGACATAATGCGTCACACTGTAGTATGGAGGAATTTCTGCTTTACAGACCTGTGTGGGCGGCTGTGAGGGGGGAGGAGGTAGAGGGGTGTGCTATGTACAGGGACCATATGGCTCCAAGACATACAAATGCAAATAGAAGGACATAAATTGAGGTTCCTCTACCCTGAGGGTGTGATCACACCCAGAGCTGGTTTTCTGCTGAGTCCTTGAAAGTGAGCCGGTCGTCCCACCACGGCTCATGTTTGAGCTCAGCCAGAGTAACTTTTAACTCTATTACATGAGTGCCTTGGTAGCAATGCACCAAAGTCACTGTAATGCTAAAACATTGTTCTCCATCTGCATGTGAAGATGAAATTATAACACATGCAGGTTCCAGTAAGGATTTGGGGAGACCAGTCTGATCCTGGCATTTCTTTACCACTTCTGACGTGTGTTTGGGCTCATTGTGTTGTTGAAACACTCAACTACATGCAAGACCCACCCTCTGGCTGATGACTTTAGGTTTTCCTAAAGAACGTGGAGGTAATCCTCATTCTTCAGTATTCCATTTACTTTTTATAAAGCTCCAGTTCCACTGGCAGTAAAACAGCCCCAGAGCATCACACTGCCACGATCATGGCTGACGGCAGGTTTGGTGCTCTGGAGTTAAAGGCCTCACCTTCCCAAACATATTTCTGGTCATTGTGGCCAAATAGCTCAATATTTGTTTCATCTAAACACAAACCTCCCCCCTACAGGGCCTTTTCTTTGTCTGTGATCACCAGCAGACTTCAGGTTTTAAGCTGCAGCCTCTCAGCCCATCCTGATATAAAACACACTGGACTGTGACAGCCGTGGTCCAGCAGCTTCTAACTCACTGCAGACCTGCTTTTTGGTGATTCCTGACCATCCTGACCAACTGTCTCTCAGCAGCAGGTGATAGTTTGTGGTTTCTTCCTGATTGAGGCAGTGACACACCTCACCATGGACTCTAATGGACTTATTACTAACAAAAATCAGCTGTTTGCCAGCTGATTTAGGATCTGTAGGTACTTTGAAATGGCTCTAAGTGGTTGTCTTGACTTGTTCAAGTCATTGATTTGCTTTGTCAGATCCTCCTTCCCCCCTCCATCCTTCCGTCCTTAGACTTTCCAACAGTCGTATTTATGGCCAATGACTGTTTCAAACGAGCCCTATTTAAACCGACTCAGAGGAGTCAGCAGCTGCAGTCAATCGTATAACTCAGAACAAGTTAAGAGGTTAGCGCCACTAAAAAGAAAATACATTACGACAGCTTTCTACGTGACCAGTTTAACTTTCTGTATGTATGTTTTTGACCCAGCAGATTTTTTGGACCTATAATAAATCTATGAAAGAACCAAAAAGCAAGATTGTTTTTGTGACGAAGCTGTTCGTCATTCAGTGATTAAATCATAGAGAAATTCAGAGCTGTTCACGACGGCAGATACAACACACTGCTGCAAACTTGTCACCATTTAACACATTTAGACAACCAGCCTCACTACAATGCATTCCTACACCCATCCAATGGAGTTGAAGGAATTTAAGCTGCCCAAGGGCAGAATTTTCTCAACCCTTAAAGGACCACGTAATCTATCAGCTGAATATGAAACGCACAAATAACTAAATGAGATTCCAAGGTAGAAAAAGGTGCAAATGGGAATGGGTAAAATAAACACATAGGACAAGTGTTTTTACCAACAAGAAATAGAAGAAGCGGTGTGATTCCTCTGCTCTATACCACTCATGTAAAAATGGCTTTATTCAAATGCTAAGAGACGCCAAAGACAAAAGCAAAACAAGACGGGCTGCAAATGAAACACATTAACATTGTACAGGGAAATGAAATTAGCCCTGTTTCAGAGATTCCTCCGTTTTAATGAAGCATAATTGACTAATTTAAGCCTGGACGTTCACAGACATAAATCCTTCACAGCCTCCAGCTGATCGCTGTTCCAGTGCACGTAATCTGTCTTTAGCACGCTCGCAATATCATTTATGCATCACAAGCGGTAAAATTAACATGTTTTTCTTTAAATTGCCCCAAACAGTCGGCCATGCGCTCCTAACATTCATATCTGATATCCAGCTGTTCCTCCTGCAACGATACGACTGAACCAACTTGGTTCTGCTCATATATGCGAACAGAACACAAGATGCAGGAAAGAGATCACCTGCTGATGCACATTTTTGGAGATGAATCTTTAAATATGGTCTGCACTCATATAGAGCTTTTATCCCAAGCTCTTCACAATGTGTTTAGAATTAGAATTAGAATGAAATTAGAATTAGAGTAAAACTTTATTAATCCCTTCGGTACAAGACCTCAGGGAAATTGTTTCTCATTCACCCATTCACACACATCCATACACCAACAGAGCTCCATGCAAGCTGCTGCCTGTGTTGGGAGCAACTTCAGGTTCAAGGACACTTCGACTGTGGAGGGGATCGAACCGCCAGCCTTGTGATTGTGTACCGCTCTACCACCTGCCGCCTATATATAATATATTATATATATATATAATATAGAAGTGCCCAAGAATGCATTTTTGGAACAGAAGCATCAATGCTGAGGTTAGGCGACGTATTATTAGTAAACTTGGGGTCATATTTATAGTTAAAAATTAATTTAAATAACATGGAAATACTAATTAAAAACAACTTCATTTTTCTGCATCAGCCAATCAGTGCAGTTTGTTGGTTGAACTTCATTAGAAGTGGTCATAACTCAAAAACATTGACGCCAAGTCTTGCACTATTGTTGCTGTTGCTGACCCCAGGCATGTTACCTAGAGATCATTTCCTCCGTCTCACCTTGAAAGAGGTACTCCTCTGTGTTCATGTCAGGATTGTCGGTGATAATGTCAAACGGGGACCTTCCAGCCATCATCTCGAACATCAGCACGCCCAGAGCCCACCAGTCCACACTGAAGCCTGGGAGGGCACAACAGATGATATTCATTCAGACATGGGCGTGGCATTACAGATAAACACTCTCCATGTGCAGCATTCTGCTCAAGTGTTCAGCACATATCAGTGATGTGTTCCATGACATGTTCCTTAATGCTTAGTACTCATGTGTAAGCTCAGCCTTTAAACAACACACACACACATACGCTGCCTGTTTTCTTTATGAAGCCCTTATTTATGACTCTGGCTGTGTCTCGTCTCGTTGTCGTGGACATTGAATTTGGGAACTGATTTAATTGCATGATGGATAAGAACCTAACATAGCTAAAGGTTTTATAGAGTATCGGACATGTTGGCGTACAAACAGTCTGTTGGGAACGCAAACGTGCCTTAAGGTTTGTTTGTAATATTCAGTTTGCTGTCATAACTAAACACAGAATACTAACAAATGAACACTAGAGGAAGCCCAACGATCTGGACGGATTTACAAACCATCCAGCAGCAGCTAGCTTAGCATTAGCCTCAGTCATGGCACGCAGCTCTTCAGGTAGAAGAAGTCTTGACGTGGCCATCATTAGCTAGCCAGCTGAGAACAACATTTAAGCAACTTTTAAGCAACAGGGATTTGGATTTCTCTTGGTTTGGTAGACGCTAACCTCCTCCCCATTAAGCTGTGCTAAGCTAATGTATCCAGCCTCCATCCCTCTGCTGGTAAGACAGCCGACCTGCGTTACTGTAAGCATTCTTTAATCACTGAATTTTTAATTGTAGTCCTTTACAAATACATTATCGTACGGTACCAACGCTCCACGCTCTGCCTGCACTCACCGTAGTCTTCTCCTCTGAGGATCTCGGGTGCTATGTAGTTGGGAGTTCCACAGAAAGTACTGGTCGTGTCCCCTGGTCTGATGCCCTCCTGAGGGGTGATGGAGGAGGAGGAGGAAGAAACACAAAGAGAGAACAGCAGTTGCAGAGATGAAAGAGGCAGCGTGAAAGATGTCATGTGTACAAGAACATGAATGGTGGAATGAAAAAAAACAATAAAACAGAGGCCCTGTTAGAGCCAGTCAATCCTGATCTCCTGCATTATTGATAACCCGACAGTCTACTGAAAAAATAAATCAATACACGTCTTACCTTGCACATGCCATAGTCTGTGAGCTTGATGTGTCCCTCATGGTCCAAGAGAACGTTGTCCAGCTTCAGATCACGGTAGATGATGCCCTTTTCATGGAGGAAGTTCAGAGCAATACAGATTTCAGCAGCATAAAACCTGCGAAGAAGCAGAAAGAAATGCAGAGAGTGACGTGTCTGACCTGCCATCTAGTGCCAGCATCCGGCCAAAGACTTCCACACTAGAGCATAACAGATTCTGTAGACCTTGGTGTGGTCCTTGACATGCTGCTGTTCTTCTGTGTACACAACCCCCAAAAGTCACAGCTTCACAAAAGTCAGGATCTTATACCAGCTGTGTAACACTTTGAACGCCGCACACGTATGATCTCAGAGCTGTCAGAACGATGTGAGGGCAGTTATTTTGCAGGTAGGACGGCTCTTCTGTACTGTATGAAGGAAAAGGGGTTCGAATAAAGTCGCCACAGGAAGTTTATGTCTGAATTCCACAAAGCCGCTGCTTTCACAGAGTGGCTGAGGACGGACGGGTGTTTGGGCTCGTTGTCAGTGAATCCATGATATGATCCTACTGCATGATGGGTAAGAATCTCTTTAAAACACCGTGAAATGTTCCCTACACTGACATCTAAAGGACCGTTATGACCCACGGTACCAGGCACCAACAGCAGATCCTTGAAGTCCAGTAAAGTGTGAGTCGGATCAGACACCGCGGTCGGACCACAAACCTGATGCTCTGACCCACTCATCTGGCTGGTCCTTGTCAAAACCAGTCAGACCTTTAAAGCCCCGACTGTGTATTTTGCTTGATATGAAGTAACTCAACCAAACACAGAAACGTATGAAATATACTTTTAAGACATGTGTTGATCACTTAAAGGACTTTCATAAGCAGCTTCATGTTACTAAGATGATTCTCATTATGGTGAACAGAGACGTATTTATAGCAAACATTAGCCTTTAAAACCTCCATAGTTTTGGCCGTGATTAAATGTGCTGCTCGGTGCGCCTCTCTGGTGAGTCACTAGCATGTTTTCTCTCTGTGTGTAGGTAGTGTGTATTCTGTCTCCAGGAGATAAGCCTTCATTAACACCGACGAGCCTCTCTGTCTGCCTGCTGTAAATCCATGATTGTCAAACACTGAGGGAAAAGGCTGTAGTGGAGCAGTGTTTGACAGAGAAATCACAAATCCCACATCGCTCCCCCACATTTTCACGGTGACAGCCTCCATTGTGCGTCGTTGTTTCATTGCTGCCATCAGACTGATAGAAGCTGCGTCCTATCAGCAGTACCATCCATCGCCCACCGGCACGCCTCCCCCACGGCGCGGGGGAATGCAGCAGGGCTCTCTCTAAGAGCGCTGCTCATGAATATGTACAATCATTATGAGTGATTAACATGCTGCTTTGCATATGTACAACCACTGTCTCCAGAATCCAGATTGCAAGGGGCCGATAGGGGCCCAACGGTGCCTCTCTAAATTACCCAGCCTTTGATCCAGCATTTATCAGAGCCGCAGTTGGAGTGCCCCGCAACTAGACAGGCACAATGAATTATGGGCGCTCATTATATTTCTCAGAGGTGCAAAAAAAAAAAAAAAGTGGTAAGTTGGGTTTTGAAAGTGTTGGCATGTCCACGAAGAGCCGTTAAAGCATCCGTTTAGGAGGAGCATCTCTGGACCACGCTGCCGAGGAACATTTCAAACTGCATCCGCAACAACAAACAACACAAAATAAAAGATCCTTCCAGGAAAACGATGGTTCTTGTTCTAACTACACCCATCATGTCATCATAAGAAACACAGACGACCCAACTGGACGGGTTCAGTCGGTCCACCACAAAACAACTGCCCAGATGTGTTTCCAGTGTCGCCAGATGACTCTGCCATGTCAGCACGAGGAAAACCTAATCACACATTTAACCACTTTAATGTCATAATCTGATCATGCAGTTCATCCCTGCAGGCCAGGAAGAGGCAGCTATTTAATTAATGTGTACAGTATTTGAGAAAGGTTCTGAGAAAAATCACACAAGTGCTACCTAAACATACAGGTCTAGTGATGATGAATTTTCCATGTGGCATGAACACACCTAAACACCGTTTAAGGTTTCTAAACATCAGGGCTTAGCCGTGATCACGTATGAAAACAGGTGCTGTACTTGTGGATGTGTACCTTGCATGTTCTTCGGGGAGCTTCCTTTGCCGTTGCATATGAAACATCAAGTCCCCTCCGTTCACATATTCGATCACCAGAAATAACCTGGAAATCATGGAAAAACCCGTTAGTGAACCACTGATACCATCAACCAGTGGCTGGTTTACACTGGACAGATACAACACTGGTCACTATGAACCATCAGCACATGAAAAAGAAAACATGCACAAAATATGATTCTGTCACTTTTACTATATGTTTTATTGTTCTGGACATATTGCATCTTTTTAAGGAAAATGACTCACAGGTCCGCTGCTAAGGAACTAAACAGGGTAAGAATGGCTGACTTTATTTTTTAAAAAAATCCCAACAAATCCAAAGAAAGAGATAAAAACCAACAATGTGTTCTCCTCTTATTCAGCAGTTCATGGTATTTATGGAGCCATGTGGTTTATGTCTCTGTGCCAAACAGCACGATGGAGTGATTCTGGTGCAGAACCCATGTTTAGGTGAAATGAAGCTTTAGTTTAGTTTTATTTAGATGGAAAGTCGAGTTATTCTTAAAGCACCACAGCAGCGTTTCCAATCTTATGGCTCATGTTTGAGAACAGCTCAGTGTACATCAGATACTGCTGTGGTGCAACATGCCTAAAAAACATCGAATATGGAGAAAAGAAGGCTTTGCACAGTTCCAATCAAAGCGCTGAATCTTAAAGCCTCACCAAGGCAAAGGAAGGATTCACTAAACCTGACTCAAGGACAATGACATCAAGCGCCTGTGCTTTAATATGCAGCAAAAACGAAGGTAGAGGAACATCAGGAAGACTATCAAATATGGCAGAAGCTGCGAGTTCAAACCCATTTCTGTTATCTATTCAGATATCTAGCATCGGTGGAGCTATGAACTAGGAGCTCGTGAACTCCATCAGCGTCCATGAAAAAGAATAGATGTTCTCTGTTTGATATCATCACACTGAGAGTTCCTTGACCAACATTTGTCATGAGGACGGTGTAATGGCTGAAAGCTTCTTTATGAAACACTCAGCAGACTGAATGCATACTTTAGGACTACTGAGGAGTTCCATGACACAAAGGCAAAAGACATCAGACAAGCCTGAGCAGCACAAATCATGTCCAAGGCATTTGTTGGTAATACTTAAATCATAGAAATATATTATTCTCTAATGCACAACACAACATCATCACAGAGTAACACTTCATATTACTGAAAAGTACTGCCAGGTACTACGAGCTGCAACTGAAATGTATTGGATTTAAACACAGTATGAGCTCTGACACAGTGTCATCACACTCTTACCGACTTTCTGTCTGGAAACAGGAGTGGAGGCCGACGAGGAAAGGATTGGTGGATGCCTGCTCAAACACATGCTTCTCTGTCTGCACCCAGTCAATATCCTGGACAAACGAGGGGAGACAGAAGGAGACAAGAAAAGATAATGTATGACCAATCAATGTGTCTGATCAATAGGCAGACAGATGGAGATACACCATGCCACAGACAGGCTGCAGTCAGTCCTGATAACAATTCAGCATTTTGGATTATTTCCTCATTCGGCTGTCCGACTTAACAGCGTGAACCTTGGGTGCCGTGATAACAGGGCAGCCACAGCTGTCTAGGAAACCATCCACCGTGTCACTATAGGACACTGTGGTCAAGCTGTAATGCTCAGACTGCCCTAAGCTGCCACAAACCTACAGCGACACGTAATCCGACAGAGAACATTAACAGTGGTGATAATGAACACAAGTGAAGGGATTCCACAAATAAAAATACACAAGTAAAGGTAAAAACAACCCTGAGAACACAAGACATGAGTATGACAATGAAAGGTTGTGATACAGAAAGAGGCGACTGCATTACGTTACTCCTGCATTTACATTTAACCAAAGCAGCATTAAGTTCAGTCACATCCAGCTTGTACCGACCTCCTCATCCTAGTGGTTTTCCTTATTCTGACTATAAAGATATTTCTGTCATTGTACAAAACTGTCATCAAGGCAAACTGTGAGGAATCTGAATTTATCAATCACAGTTTGGTACGTCTGTTTACTCTGTCTTGTGTTTTGTTTCATGTCACAAGTGTGCTGCACAGCAAAAGACAGGAAATGAAGACACACTGCAAGAGCAATGACTAAAATAGACAACCAGAAACAGAGCATACCCTTATGAAATCAGGTCTCTGGAAGAGAAAAGAAAGTGTGTGAGTAATATTGTTATCAGCCAGTTGTGGTTTTAATCATTTATGCTTCAGTTATAGAGAGTTTTAGAGAGTGTTTAGCTTGAGGGGAGGATGTTCTGTGCTGATTTAAAGTGTCATTAAATTGATGATAGTTAATGTTTTATGTGAGCTACAATAGAGTGTGTGTCTACAGTTTGAGCTCCCCATGCAGTGCTCCGCTGTGCTTAATGATTAATTTATACCACCACAATAGAGACCACATATTGTGCGCGCGATACAAAATTCCTTCTGGTCAACTCATTATTGCTTGAGGAATTTGTAATTATGCAGAATCTCCCATCACAACACATCTCATGCTGGCCATTTCAGCTCCGTTAGTAGTTTGTAGTCAGTTGGTGGAAAGTTGGTACAAGCCTCCTTTGATGCCAGCATTAGACTGCTATTGACATGAATTATTAAACTAATGTGCAAGAGCAGCGCGGTGAATAAATGGAAATGAGAAGTCCAATCAAAACACTGGAAGGACTTGGGGATTTCCTTAAATCCTCTTTATTGGGGAAAAACTGAATCTTTATCGTAGAGTCAAATTTATTTTCTTTATCAGCTGTCCCTGAAAATCTGGATTTAAATACTGGATGTAAGTGTTCACATGTGTGGGGGAAAGAAAAAAAAGATTACGAGCTGATGGGGGAGACTTGGAGATGTGCAGATGTAGGATAATGTAGACGTTGTGGACACTGAGCCTTCCTGTGGCTGGATAATCCCATTGGTTTGTGTTTGTTTAAGGAGTTATACATTGAGCAACAGCGCCATCTAGTGGGCTTATATAACACAGACAGTAACAGGACGCAGCGCTCTGGAGCTGATCTGTAACAACCATCTTCTGTAAAATCTTCTCTGCATGCACGTTGCAGCGAGTTCAGTGTATGCTGTGAAATGATTATTAATAAAGCTGCCTTTACATCCTGATGGTGTGTCGCCGTGAGCTGGGTGAAGGTGCAACGGCCTGCAGACCATTTTCCAAAAATTGTTCATTTACAAGAGACACAAAGGATTAAAAGGCCCAAGATCACACTGCAGCTATTCTTTCAAAGAAAAAAAAAAGTACACTTAGCAGCACCTCTGAAGCTCATTGATGCGACAGAAGTCATTTGTTTGATCTGTACACACACAAGTAATAGCTGGGTTCACTGAATGTGACGCTTCCTGAACACCTATTGCAGTAACACTGGTGGATTTGTTCCCAATCTGCCATCTTGCACTGCAGCTTGATGGTCAAAGGTCTATACTTCTATAGCACCTTTTTTAACATATATAAATGACGCTGACTTGACTAACACACTCACACACCAATGGTGGCAGAGCTGTCATCGGCCATGCAACTTGGGGTTCAGCGTCTTGCCCAAAGAACACCTCAACCCACGGAGGGACAATGGAACTGCCAATCTTGTGATCATGGGACAACCTGCTCCACCACCTGAGCCATGACCTCTAGAGACAGCATCCAGTCGTGCTGAGAGGATGCTCAGACCGACAAGAAATAGTTTCAACAGTTAACTCTCTATGAACAGCAAGTTGTTGCTCCACATTCCTGCTGGTGTGTAAATTGGGTGAATGCTGATCAGTGAGCTTCTGGGGTTTACAGAGTGTATTTTTGATCTCTGGAAAGAGCCAGGCTAGTGAACCCCGTCTTAACTTGTGTCTGAGATTTCTGCGGTGATTCCAATACAGTGGAGGTTATAAGTCAGAATGGGTTACAACAGAGTTTTGTTAGTGCCATTCACAGTGATAATAAAATACAGTTCAAAAATATGGTCTCTATTGTCTCCAGATAATCTCCCTCCCCAGATGGGAAATGCCCCCCCTCAGGGTACGTGGATACTTCTTTAAGACACACCAGCTTGCCTGGTCACGCCCCACAGGTTACCTATAAGGCACCTGTGCTGTCATGAATTCCCTGATTGTTTGATCTCTACCTCAGTCAGGATGCAGTGTGACAATCCGTACTACTTTAAGCATATTCTGTATGTACGTATGTGGTTTCCGCATAGATCCGCTTACCTGTTGTGGTTTGGGTGTCTGGCTGCAGGTACCTTCTCTGGATTGCAGTTTCCCTATTCAGGTTTTGTAAAATGTATTCCTTTCTCTCCAGCTCCTATGGCTGTAATCCTAAATGCCAGCATGTTGCTTGCGGTTCGTGAGCTGACGTGCTCAGTGGGGCCCATGCTGAGCGCAGACTTAACGTCGGCTAACATCGGGAGGAAATCTATTCCAGTCCAGTCAAGCCAGTCTGACGTTCATCACGACTGTAATTCTTGTGAGCTAGCGCGCTTGGTGGAATCCCTGTTGAGCTCCGACTTCCTGGTCGGCTAAACAGCAGGTGAAGAAACTTTCCTCTGGCAGCGTCAGCATCTCTCTGCCGATGCCTGAATGCTGCTGGAGCGTATTACTGCAGTTCGCAGCTAACGTGTTCAGTGGTAGTCTGTGTTGAGTGCAGAGTTTGGCTAGCAGCAGAAAGTGTACTCTGTTCCAGCCTAGTCAGTTTCCCTGGAATGGAGAGAGGCATTCACTATCACTGTGATACCTTTCCAGTGCATTGCTAGTGGTGTTGCAAGCTAGTATGCTAGGTGACCTGTGGTCTGTTGCCAGCTGGTCTTCACAGATGCTTCCCCAGTCGGCTGAAGCATTGTGTATACTGTCTGTAGGGTCAAGGAGCTCTGGATTTGCTGTTGGGTGACCCCAGCAGCATAGAGCTGTCCCCCTTGCTCTCTGGCAGTTCCTGCCAAGATTGTAAGGTCACCACACCATTTCCAAGAAAGACCAGCGCCTATCAATAAGCAGAGTGGCAACCACACTGTGGCAGAGGATTCACACCTTCTTCTGCTTACTCAGAGTCACGCATGTGTTCTCTCTGAACAGAGCAGCTGAAGTCAATAGAGGAACTCCACACCAAGGGGAGTGGCGACTCCATCCTCAGGGGGCTAAGGAGACTTGGTGTCCCTTTGTCAGGGACAGTTCAACCTTCTCAGCTCCAGAGAGACAGCACATTGTCGACTCTTCTTTCCCTCATGGGATGATGATCCACCTCAGGGATGGGACGCCCTGGCACATATGTAGTCTGGTAGTCTGCTTTGAGCATTATATCCTTTCATGCTTCTTCAGCCCCTTCTTCCAAGGATTCAGGGAGAAGGAGTAAGGCTGATTTTGGTGGCTCCTCTTTGGCCCCACTTGCCACGGTCCCAGTGATTAGCCTCTCTCACATCGGACACCTTAGAAGCTTCCACTGTGGAAAAGACCTGCTGTTTCAGGCTAATGAAACCCTGTTTCATCCCTACCTGACTGGTCTCTGAGAGGAACAGGTGCCTGGCCTTACCCTATTTGAGGACTGTGGTGAGAGGGGGTATTTACCATTTGGTGTGGACCTCACCAAGCAGATCCCTACTCAGCACAGCCCAGGGACTCCGGCTGTTCACACTGTCTTAACTGTAGACAGGGAAGTCTCCCACTACCTAGCGAGGTGTTCTGGTGACACAGGATCAGATTCTGGTCCCTCCATCGATCTTGGCTATAGTCAGTACTGTGCTTTAGCATCCCCCTCTTTTGGCTCGTGCTTTTGATCTGAAATGGGTTTTCTTTAGAACTGCACTCCTGCTGGTCATGACCTCTGCCAGGCTAATGGCAGCTGATGCAGGTTTTTGCCAAAGGGGTCAAGAGTAGTCCACTGTCCCAACCTGGTGTTGATGCCTAAAGATTCACCTGAATTCCACCTGTCTCAGTCGGCTGTGCTGCAGTCACTTGCCTCTTCTGTAGATGATCAGGAGGACCAGCACCAGTTTCAGCAGTACCCGCCTGGGCTTTGGGGGAGCATATCCGGTGTAGACAGGCTGTCACGAAGACTGACCGTCTACTTCAACTCCAGTAATTTGGGCAGGTCCTTGTTGAAGTCTCAACTATCTTGCTGGATTGTGGTTGCCATTCAGCAGATGTGTTTTCTCAGGTGTGCCAGTCAAATCCTAGGTCTAAGCACACTCACCTCGTGGTGGGGCTACCACATGGTCATCTCAGTCCACTTTATCTCAAATCCATTACCTGAGAATAACAGCCAGGCCCTCCTTCGGAGTGGGTGCTGGGTGTGACTCATCAGTGGATACCTGGGCCAGGTCTCTGTCCACCTTCATTGTCTCCCATGGTCATCTTAGCAGCTTGCCAGTTGGTCTGAGTGGCCACTCTGTCCATAGGTTTGGCTGTTTTATTTTGGCCTTTAACGGTGTCCTTGGGGTGAGTCATGCATTTTGCGGACTGGCCTAAGCAGCCCTCTCAGGCCGGTTCTTTGTGTTGCCTGGGGCCTCCGCCTGGTTGATATGTAAATAAGTGTACATTTTCAAATAGTTTGTCATATACCAGTGGTTTGGGCTGCACCGTCTGCTCATGGGGTGTCTGAAAGAGTTACCCTATATATATGAAATATGTGACTGGGTGGAGAGACACTTCTGAGACAATAGAGATGGTATGGTTAGATTGTAACCTTGGTTCTCTGAGTGGAGAGACTCTCCACCTGACGTTGTAATGCACTCTGAGTACCACTAAGGTAGAAAGGTGCTGTGCAAAAGTTTGTCATCATATTTAGGTGTTGGTAATGGTTCTACTTCTTGTGAATATTGCTAGGAAATATTTACATCATTTACATCATTCACATCAACAAAAACAATGCTCAATGTGAATATGAATGCTTGTATATTTCCTGCTTTAGCAGCGTTTCCCTTTTTGAATTCAATCTGTCATCATGCTCATCTGGCGAATCAGCAATGCAAAAACAAGGTTATATCCAGATTTTATCTTGAGTCACCCACATACTTATCCCTCATTCCTCTTAAACCTTTTTTTCCACATCATAAGCTCTCCACTTTTATGTCATTTCCCCGCCCACTTCATCCCACTTCTTTGTCCCACTCGTGTTTTTGCCTCATCCCTTTCAAAAGCATCTACCAGTCTCTAAATAAGTCTGCCTCACTCCCTTTTAGTCATTCTTGTTTCTCATATTTCCATGCATTTTTCACTGTTCTATCTCCATCTTTCCCTTCTAACTTCCATCCTCTTCCCTCCTCTCCTCTATGATTACTGCTTCAAGACCTGTTACACAGTCCAGCAAATCTCAGCCCCAGAGCCTGAAGACCCAGAGCCTGAAGACCCAGAGCCTCACTGCTTCTCATTCTGGGAAGCTAATCAGCGACAGATATGTGCTTGGAATGGGAGGTCAACGCAATTAAATAGACAGCGTCAAGCAAAAGCAGCAGCCCTCTAAGTCTAAGAACATGTTCTGAAAACATTAAACAAGAAATGTTTGAAATCCATCTGCTCCTCAGTGATACATTAGTGCTGCTGATAGACTGGGCTGGTGCAGAAGCCTCACAGACCATCACCCTTTGTGCCACGAGTTCTCCCCTAAAGGCAGCAAGCAGACATTAAAAAGTAGTCCAAGTACAGTAGCTGGGGCGTGCCAGTCCATGAAGGGAGTGTGATTAGATTGCTTCTCTTCTGGAGTGGTGATGCATGCTGAAGCTGGGAAATAGGACGGTGGTAGATGCTGATGTCAAGTACATGTGGATTTATGTCGGCATAAGTAGGTACAGTAGGTGGCAGCACATGCCACCAGTGTGTGATTTATCCACAAGAAGAACCCATTCAGTGACGTCCCCTTGACCCAAATTTATCTCTAGACAATCAAAAGGTTAAAAGAGTGGAAGCTCCAATAGTTTGCTTCAAATGGGCAGAAATAGAGGCACAACCTAAAGCTAAAGGCTAATATTATGCCTCTTCTTTCAAAGTCTGTTTCTGAACACAAAGCTTGGTCTTGCAAAGACCTTTTTGGTAGATGTTATATTTACAGGCCTCGACTTCCTGCTTCTTACTTTTTTTGCTTTCTACAGTAAAGCTCATGTTTAAGGATGGTTCTGATTTATTACAACTTGGGTTTCACTAAATTTGTAGATATAGCCACCGTTCCCGCCAACAATCAGATTCTATTTGTAAGGTTTTCTGGGAATGTCACAACACTGACAAGTAAAGATGCAGAGTGGTCACATGTGTTATACACCACAAACCCCCAGGACAGAAAACGAAGGCAAAGAATAAAATTACCCACAATCAATAACTCATATGTTTCAGTTTTACCTTCACATAACAAGGTTTAGGTAATTTATCTATTAACAATCTGTCTGACGGCGGACTTTTCTGAACTCATTGTAGTGATGATACAAAATGAAACCAGAGTTGCAATAAACCAGAATCCATCCATCCATCCATCCATCCATCCATCAATCCATCCATCCATCCATCCATCCATCCATCCATCCATCAATTCATCCATCCATCTATCAATCAATTCATCCATCCATCTATCAATCAATCCATCCATCCATCCATCCATCCATCCATCCATCCATCCATCCATCAATCCATCCATCAATCCATCCATTCCTACCTTCAACATCATCACCACTCCAACATACCTCAGCAATGCTTGGATTAAATGTTTTCTTAAAAACTGGTAAAAGCATTAACACTTTACATTTTCAGCTTAATTTTCAATTTAATTTTGTTTATATTGCACTAACTCACAAACAAGTAATCTCTCTATTTCACATGGTAAGGTCAAGACCTTACAGTATTATATTTTGGAGGGAAACACAACGATTCGTTTGCGCAGCACTTAGTGACGGGAACAGAACCAGACTTGGCAGCCTTCTGTCTCGACTTGTTGGGGTGACAACAAGCCTAGTGCTGCATACACATTCAAAGATATTACATAATTAGTGACTTGGATTTGAAGTTTGCACTGATCAGACATCACCAGCATAGAGCATGAAGAAGTAGCACAGTATGCATTTGCATTACAGAGTCTGGTTAGTCAGGTTAGTCAAAAGAACTGAATATTCAGCACACACATTCCACACCAGATGTAGGGACTTCAGGACTTCAAGACGTAAAGGACTGATTTGCTTGCCTAATACCAAGTCCATCAACAACTATGACCACACTCTGGAGCTGATCTGGTCTGTCCGTCTGTCTAACTCCTCGTCCTAAAGTGTACTCAGTGTCTCACCTCATCATCGTGGACCAGTTCCTTCTTGACCACCTTCATGGCATACACCTGCTCGTTTTTTTTTAACCGAACCAGCAGGACTTTGGCGTAGCTGCCTCGCCCAATCACTCGGATCAAGTCAAAGTCGCCCAGTCCAAGAGCCAGGCCCTGGGACAGCTTAATACCATCGATGCCATCCACTACTGCTTTCATGTCCTAGAGGGCACGGAGGTGACAATGCCATGAGTGTACCGATTCATCCACAGTTAACATCTACATGCACAAGAGTTACAGTCGTCCCAGTTATATGTAGAGGACTGACCACATACACTGGATGATTCTTCAATGCCATTAACTATTAAACAAAAGATTAGGTGAATTCTGGAGTGATTCGGAGCTCTACTCACCTCTGTATCTGCATCTTCTGTTTTATCCACTGCACAGTTGTGTGGTAGAAACGGTACTGTGGAAGACAGAGGCAGAAAAAGTGTGACCATTTGAAGGCAGTTGCAATGGGACAGAAGTAAACCTGCTCTGATAACTTCAGGTTGTTGTTCTTTTTTTGGCCAGTAGAGGGAGGCAGAGTACACAGAATAAAGTCCTGTAAGCCATAGGAAGTACCAAAGTAGAGAAACCCACAGGGGCTGTCTCATAGCAGAGGCCCCCACATCACACCACCAGTGTCTTTGTAGGAGAATTCAGGAGTCTGTTCTATGGGATCCCATCAGAGAGCAGCACCGTGGGTAGATAAGAGCTGAGAGTTACGTAAGTGATGGTGGAGCAGGTGAGGGGCACTGACCAGGGTCCAGAATTAGTCTTTAGAACAAAGAAGTCACAATATGAATCATTTGTCTGGGGATTTCTGGAATCACAGCAGAGCTATGCAGGGTTCCCAGTCTGTTCGCTCTGCAAAAGAAGAAAATGTCCTGGAATAACCCTTTGCAGACAACTTTTCAAACTCATGGGAGGTGTCTGTGTTTTGTTCCTGTGTTGTTAAAAAGTCTGTTTCGATCATAGATTGGTCTAATGCAATAATGCACGACAGCTTTCCACACATGAAGAGTGACTTGTCTTGATCCTACAAAGCCAGCCGATGCACCCCCGGCTGACTGGGAACTACATGTTTCCATAGTAACAGCTGCATGGCACCTGCTGACCAGAGAGCGGGAGGAGAGACGGAGCAGGTCAACAGACATGTTGAGTTCTGCAACCTGAAGAAGTTGACATTTTCTTCTACTGAATGTTTTTCTAGCGTTACATTTATCTGCTGTAACTTGTAGATTATCTCAGAGGACAAATATTTTCTGACGGAGTAAAAGGGTCTGAGAGGTCTGACAGGGAACCTCCAGCAGTCTGGGTTTAATTTACCAAGACTGCAGAAAACATGTCCTACTAGACAGAAGCTGAAAAGATTATGATATGATCATGATGTGATCTTTTGTTCAGATTTCCCACACAGTAATAACACAACACTCCTGTACTTCTCCAGTTCTGCACACATAACACACTGTACAGAACATGTGACGGGTTACAATCAAAGGGATGAACCAACAGGAAGTGTCTTAGGAAGCTGACCGGCCGCCACTGACTGACAGAGCAGCTTCAGCTCTTTGTCATGGACTCTCCACATCTCTGGAACAGAAGAGATGAAGCACGATTCTTCCAAAAGAAGTTTCCCTATTTGGTGTTTTGGTAGGAAGTGTGGAGTCTGATGGGTCACAGTCTCCTAGAGGTGTTCAGCTGGGTTGAGACCTGATGACTATGAAGACCACGGGTACAAGTGGACCCGAACCATGTCAGCACATTGCCCCCACATCACAACAGAGCCCCTGATCCCTTCATTAAAGGGCTTGAGAGCTTTATATTTTTCTCTCTCTTTAATTTGTCACTGGTCTGTACTAATCTTTGCAGTATACTGGTTTTACCAACTGGCTGGATTCAGAGCTGCCTTTATATCTTCTATCTCAAACTGTAGAGCAATAACTAGATACAGGAACATGGTAGCCCTGCAGAATAAAAAGGTTTAAGGGACTTACTCCCATCGGTGTCCTCTGTGTCGTCTGGTGGAAGGTCCACCTCTTCACTCTTGGCATCTGAAGGGGGCTCTTGTGATGGCATGACTGGATCCTGAAGAAAGAATTAAAGAAAACTGCTAAATGTCCAGAAAAATATGATTCAAAATATCCACTGAAGCATCCACGTACACAAATGAAGGAGTGTGTGACTGATCATGTTTGCGAGGACTGAGGAAGACGCCTGTGTTTGATGTTCTCGGCTAATCTACAGACACGTTGCTGCTCAGAGACTCTGACGATAATGTCGGGGTCTGAACTAGAAAGGCATTTAATCACTTATCTGGTGCTGAAGATAGCGAGTTGAAGTTGTGATCGAGCAGCAGACAGTTAGTCCAGCACCAGAGCAAATACTGTATTGACCACATTGATTTTCTAGTCAGGTTCGTGTTTTCAGCGGCTAAACTTTGGATGTTTGGTCAAACGCTTGCTTTGTGCTCAGACTGATTGATTATGTGCAGCAAACTGTTTTTAGCAAGATGTCTCATTTCTACAGACAAAGCTCAGGAGCATGAAGTGCAGAAAAACAATCCACAATGACACTCAGGAAATGTTCAAAGAGGACTTTTGAGTTTCACATTATGTCTGTGTTGCTGCAGCAGCTTATAGGCTCAGAGGCACAGCAGCTTTTCTTACATGCTGCCTTCCTACACAGGAAACGAGATTCAACAGCATGTCCAAAAAACAACACTTGACCCAAAAGAACAATAAGCAGCTCACATTGAAGTGAGGACTGTACAGTATTAATCTAAAGAACTACTGAACTATCCACAGGTTGCAGTGTGACGACGCTTCATGTACACAAACGGGAAGCTCAATTAATTTTCACTCCAATAAAAGCTTCGGCTTCAGACAGTCACTGTGACAGCGATAGTAATGAATTATGCTTAAAACTTAAATGGACAGCTATCTAAAGTGAAGCATGACGTGTGTGACACGTGTTGCACTGTGATCACGTGACGCTGCTGAGAGAACGTAATCTCCATCATTTGTGTCGACAACATGGAGCTCTGGCAGAATGCAGAATGAGCCACGGTGCTGGCGCTGGTTCCGACAGGCTGGCAACTGGGCTGTTCTCTGCTCGGGACATGAGAAATATACTCACCATAAGCCTTTGGCAGGTCTGAGGGATGAGTCTGTGACAGCGCTTATGGACCAGCAGTTTGCAGTTGATACACTTGTAGCCCTGCCTGCCCAGCCCCCATATCCTTTCACTACAGTGGCCACAGTAGGCTTTCTGAAAGACACACACAGGACAGGACGGCACACACCGGTTAGCTTTAACATGCTGACTGTCGCTCTCTCTGCTGATTCTTCACCAGGGAGCACCGATAAATACACATTTCTAATAATGTTTTATCTATCAAACTTCTGAGAGTTGAGAACTTTTTGAACAGGTACAATAACATCAGTGTCACAGACTTCTCATCAGACTTCACTCTCATATTACACTTTGTCTTCTTCATTTTGTGAGAGTTTTACTCTGACCCGGTGACGGGAACAAGGACACATTCAGCGGCTTTTCGCTGCTAGAACACGGAGCAGACATGAGCTGGCGTAAACGTTTGCAGGAGCAGCCCAGTAATCTTTATTTCCATCGTGGTACATGATCCAACAGCTTCGACCGCCGTGTCATCACAGAGTCAGTAATGACAACAGCAGTCACTCAACCCCAGGTCAGGAAACAGAACAACATAGGTGTGTGTCGAAGCGCTATGAGATGACTTGTTGTTGTAAATATGCGCGATACAAATAAAATTGAATTGAATTGAATTGTTATGTTTGCCTACATGGCAACGTTAGACAGGAGAAGACTGCTTCTTTCTTTATTTTAAGTTTTTTTTTTGCCTTTTTGCCTTTATTTGACAGGACGGTGAGACAGGAAAGTGGGGAGAAGAATGGGGGAAGGACCTGCAGCAAAGGATTGGATTCGAACCCGTGACCGCTGCATCGGGGACTAGAGCCCCAGTACACGGGTCGCCAGCCCAACCAGGTGAGCTTTAGCAGCCTCTCTCTCCCAAAAATGGCCTGAAAGAGGTTCTACAGGGTCGGTTCCTACGGTTGGAGCATGCACAGAACTTTGGGCCACCCTCAGATGGCCTGCGAGTTTTAGGTTGTATTTCATATCTCTCCAGTGGTTCTGCACTGGTTGAATTTAAGGATGTTTTTTCATATCAGGTGGAAAATATAGTGTCCATAGATAGCGTCAAGCCAAATGTACAAGCCTGAGAACATGTATTTATGTGTTTACGTCTGACTTGTTTGCACCCTTTAATACGCTCTTATCTCACTGGCAGGACGTTACCATGTCTGTTGTGTGTCTGTACGGCTCCACATACGTCTACCGGGAAGCTGAGACTCGCTGAAGTTTACTGTGTGTTACATAACAAGGTCTCCTGAGCGTTTCTTCCTTTGTGATTATTGTCTTAGCTTGTGCCTCACATTTCTATATCGGTACCAAAGGATGTTAAGTTTGCAGCTCAGTGTCGGTGGACATCAATAAAGCTGTCACCAAAACGTCTCCCCGGGGAGGCCGAACGCTGAGCGCTTTGGATGCGGTGAGCGTGCTCGGCTGTATCAACAACATTCATTCACAGGGTGTGGATGCTGACAGTGGAAAGAACAAAGACTCTCAGTCAGCGCTCCGTTGCCATGGAAATCCTTCAGCGAGACTTCAAAGGCTTCTTTCAGTCTTTTTAATCTAACTCTACGCAGAGGTTAAGGCGTACACTTATAAATTAATCACAAACCTTCGCCGTATTCTCTTCCCTACACAGCACACACAACCTGAGAGCACTCAGTAATGTATGGTAGGAAAAACACACACTGGAGGATGTCTGTCACTGGCTTTGGACAAGTTAGAAAACATCAGGGAGTGTTATTAGTCATGCCTTCTTATTGTCAGAGGGCATGCAGCGTCAGTGCTTTTCTCTTCTCTGTTCAAGTGCTTCTTTGTTGCTGTGAGCTAAATGCTAACATTAGGATGCTAACATGCAGCACGTTCATCATCTCATGTTGGTTCATTACCATCTGCACATTCACACCACTGGAATGCCATCCACAGCCAGGAGACACACTCGGCCACGCCATATTTTTCACTTTCCTGCTGTAGAAACTCTTGTAGGCTTTGGATCATTATCACGCTGGAATATTCCTCTTCTGCCAAGTTTCTGCAGACTGGGACTCATCTCGTCAGCCGGTACCGTCGCAGTGCTTTACTGTCAGGACCACGGATTTACTGTGGTGGTCCAAAACATGCTGAACTCCATCGAGCCAAATGTTATTAGTTTATTATATTATATACAAATAATCCATCCATCATCTCCACACCTTCATCCTCACCAGGGTCATGGGGGGCTGGAGTCTATCCCAGCTGACTCAGGGTGAAGGCAGGTTCACCTGGACAGGTAACCAGTCTATCACAGGGCTACACTTAGAGACAGACAACCAAGCACACTCACATTCACACCTACGGACAATTTACAATCACCAATTAACCTCAGCATGTTTCTGGACTGTGGGAGGAAGCCGGAGAACCCGGAGAGAACCCACGCTGCACGGGGAGAACATGGAGACTCCACGCAGGAAGATCCCGGGTGTCCTCACCGGGACGCCAACCGGCGACCTTCTAGCTGTGAGGCCACGGTGCTAACCACTGATCCAATATTCATCAGGCTTCTTTTCAGGTTCTTTAGCAAAGCTTTCATTGTGCAATGTTGTACTGAAGAGCGAGCAAAGGTTTTCTTCTAGACGGCGTCTACAGAGGCCGGCGTTCGACGCTGTCTTTTATGCTCTCTGAGCTGTGACAGAAACCCTGATGTTAACTGATGGCTCTGGTGCTGCCCATCTGTTTGTCAGCATTAGATGGTGAAATTTGTGCACCATCAGGTCAAAACTAATTCATAGAACTCTTATAACCATGTTCATGCAATTAGGCTAATTGAAAACCATGGCTTCACTTTTGTGGCATTTCTAACTTGGCGGCTGCATTTTCACTGACATGTAAACGATGCTGCTTCTGTTGTTTACTGTGTTACAGCAAACTGAACAACTTTGTATTTTGGACTGATGGTGAAGCTAAAGAAGACACCTGTAAACACCACCTTGACATTTCATTAATCATAAAGGCCATTTATTTCTATTTTTTGACATCTTATAGACAAAATGAATAATCGGCTGCACCTGAACACTAGAATAGGTTCAGGTACTACAGCTCAGACCACTAAAGCAGCATAATACTGTCCTTATCTGTCACTGCTTGCATTATTTACCTCATATTAACTCAGTGCAATCAAAACAAACGGTCCTCTGGTACTGACAATACAACCTACTGTCTGACTAATTTTAACCAGTTCATTTAAATGTTACTGAAAGCTGAACATCTCTATTCCTGTGCTAGAATTAGGGCTAAGACCCAGAGATGTCCTTGACTGGACAGCCTGTGGTGCTGTTGTCATTCCAGAGTCCCAGAGTCAAGGAGACTACAGATTAGTTCCAGGATTTACCATAAAACAAAGGCCGGCCTCCACTGGCTGTTAGGCTTCATCATCCGCTAACAATGAACTGCTAACAGATGTAAAGTCAGGGTTAAAACAAAGTCTTTTGATTTCTAGTTCATGCCTTGTACAAAAGTTGACTTCCATCTATCCAATAATTGTTGAGATATTTCCATCTGGACCAGGGCAGGGAGCAGCCAACATTATAAGCATGTACCTGTAAACCTGTGCCGGGCCCACAGTGAACAGCACTGAAAAGGCTCCTGGCCAAACCCAGTGTCTGACCCCAGCAGTAGCTTGAGCTGGATTAAGTCCACTGCTTGAACTCCATGCTGTTACCCCCTGCTGGGGACTGAAAGGTAAAAGCTTCTGTCAAACACTGACAGAAACAGCTAATAGCTCTCTCACCCAGTCAGCCCATCATCACAGGACCAAGTGATGCCAACGAGACCAGACTAGAAAGCTCTAAGCTGTCCTACAAAGATGTCAGAGTCCTGAACCGTTTCTTTGCAGATCCCAGCATTTCATTTGAACCATTGAGCATGTAGAGATGAACAGCAAGTGACTAATTTCTGCCTCATCACAGGGGGAACCTAAACAGACCTCATTATGTCCATAGGAAGAGATCCACAAAGCAGCTTTCTCTACTGCAATGTCAGCGGGAGACGGAGAGGGATGAAGAGGAGGGAGGAGAGGGATGAAGACGAGCATGTGCAGGCTGAGAGGAAGGAGAGGGATGGAGCGAGGGAAGGAAGGAGAAGTCTGACCTACTTCTCTTTAGCTTATTTATATGCTGAGGACAACACAGCGAACCAACCAAAGGACTGGAAGCTGGCATAGCAACAACAGTCAGAGAAAGCCCAGTCTGAAAACCAGCTGATTAACTATTTAGATTCGCAAGTACAGATAGATGGACAGCGTTCGTAGAGTCCTATTAAAATTGTGAAAACAGTTTCCATGATGCTACGCTTACCCTAAACTAAGCTAACCAGGTTCTAGCTCCAGATACACACAAACATGACACTGGTACGCAGCTACTTGTCACAAATACAAATGAAGGCCAATAATCACTGCAAGGGTTCACACAGTGCACATGTTGTTATCTGCAAAAGTCAGTGAGGTGTGCAGCCGAAAATGTGTGACTGTGCGTAGTGTCAGTCGTGTATACTGAACAGACAGTCACGAGCAACACAAACTGTCCTCCACATGTGCATAAGCAGTGGCACACATTGTTTTCTGACTTTCTCCTCTTGTTCAGCCATCATATGTGGAACAAACCCACACATGCTAACAGGACTGTAGTGCCGTCTGTACAGAACAACATGTCCACCTGTCCTATGTGGAGTCAATCAGCATCAGCATGTGAGACACATCATGCAGACCCACATCTCCACTGTGAAAGTCTGAAACCATCTGACATACTTGATGAAAGCAATTCTGCTCTAACTCATCTATTTAATACACAACAAGGTAAATAAAGGACCAGTCACACTGGAGTCAGGACATGTGAGCAGCGGTCCGTCATCATGATGAGTGTTTCTGGATTATATTTCTCAGCAGTACCATATACCAACAGTTTACGTCTTAAATTGAATAAACCAGGCTCCACGGTGCATTAGTAGTAATGACAGTAACAAGGAGTGGATGCTGGACGAGTGCTGAGTCAGGATGATGCCGGTGCACTCAGTTATCCACTGTCTGGTCCAGACATTAAGACAATAGCACCCATGGGAGACGTTCCACCCTGAAGAACAGTAACAATGACCAGAACCCTTCCGGTTCTGACGCCCCTCCTCGTGTCTGAAGGCGGCGCTTTCAACACTCGCTGGCAATGCAAGAACTTGAAGCTACCTTTTTATTGTCAGGTGTTCAGCTCTCGTCTCAGACTCACACAGCCGACTCAACTCCACTTTTCCTCGTGGCTGTTGATCTGAAAGCTGTCTCAACAAACGAGTGACAAAAATATACGATACAGCACCATCTGATTTGGCCAGAGCGTCTGAGATCACAACACAAAGCTAGCGCCTTGCTCCAGCAGCAGCAGAACCTGATCTGCATTCTGGCCCTTCAGGGAAAACGCATTAGGCACTTAAGGCCTTAAACTGCATTAACGTCTTTCTCCTCCTGCCTTCCAGAGTGGCCAGTGCATTATGGAAGAAGACGTCTTTAAATGCTGAAATCCTGCTTCAGACAAGCCGGGTGAGCAGGTGGAGCCCTTTAACATCTTGGCAGGGAAATGATGAAAGCCCACATGTGCTTTCAGGTACTCGTGTGTGTGTGTGTGTGTGTGTGTGTGTGTGTGTGTGTGTGTGTGTGTGTAGCATGGAGCTGAGAGCTGAGATGAGACAACTGCTAAACAAGCCACAACTAGGACACGATGAATTATGCATCAATATCCAGATAGCTTAGCTGGAGCAGTGACTTGATTACCTGTCATTTATAATTCAGGTGCAGTATGTTTATCACATATCGTACCGTATACTCCACAAAGAAAGAGAAATGCACCGCCGCTCTGCACAGATTTAAAATCCTACACACAAAGAGTTTAGTTCTGAACTGAACAGCATCATCCTGAGCCAGGACGTGAACCAGATTCTGACCAACCACAGTGTCAAAGAGGTATTTTATTTTCTGTAGTTGCCAGCCACCTGCCCCACACCATCATCAAAAAAACAATATTCTGTCCAGCGCCAACGTTTTAGGATTCCTGTGCTCAGGTTGAAATAAATGATGGACCCACCTGGCCACGTCCTAATCCCCGAGGTAATTACTCTCCTGGTTTTTGTTGTTGTTTCCTTTTAAGCTTTTGTTTATGAGATGTGAATGTGAATGAATCCTACTGACAGCTACCATCCGACAAAATGTTGAGACATCTTTTAAAAATATGATAAAACTGATGATTTTTAGGCAAATAGTGAAGCAATCCAGTTCAGTCCATGAATAGAGTTGGACTGGGCCGGAGCTTCAGTCCAAAGGTGTTTTAGAAAATAACGGATATCCAATTAGCTGTCAACACTTCTTTCCATATATGTGATCCAAATGAGGGTGAGCTGCTGGCAAGTAGACTTAAACCATCCATCCATTATCTATACACCGCTGGAGCCTATCCCAGCTGACTGAGGGTGAAGGCAGGTTCACCTGGACAGGTAACCAGTCTATCACAGGGCTACACTTAGAGACAGACAACCAAGCACACTCACATTCACACCTACGGACAATTTACAATCACCAATTAACCTCAGCATGTTTGTGGACTGTGGGAGGAAGCCGGAGAACCCGGAGAGAACCCACGCTGCACGGGGAGAACATGGAGACTCCACGCAGGAAGATCCCGGGTGTCCTCACCGGGACGCCAACCGGCGACCTTCTAGCTGTGAGGCCACGGTGCTAACCACTGAACCACCGTGCAGCTCAGACTTAAACCAGTTGGAGTAATTTTCATGTGTGTCATCCAGCTGGTTTTACGGTTTTTGATGCTACCTACCACCTCAGACCAACCACAGGCCGACCTGACGCCGGCCCATCAGTTAACAATCTCCCTGAGGTTTACACCGAAGGGACCAATAAAGTTCTCTTCTATTCTATTCTATTCTATTCTATTCTATTCTATTCTATTCTATTCTATTCTATTCTATTCTAGCTGGCTGCATATAGCTTAGCTTTGTCTGTCATTCACATACATCCCTCAGTGTCTCGCTCTCTTCACCGTCCAACCTGGAGTCAAACTTCAGGACCTCGTTTCGTTCTTTCGTCCACTTTTAATCTTTTTCTGTTTTTCTAACTGTCCAGATTAAAACATAAAAACTGTGTCATCAAAAATCTGTGTATTTGTTGTTTGTGGTTTTGGCAAATTCAAAGTTGTTTAGGATGTGTTCAGGGTTAGAAACACTTGGCGAGAGGCAGGAAGAGATCCTGGTTCTGGGTGATAAAATGTGGAACATCAAGCGTCGGTATGTGATGGAGCTACTTCTAGCATTGGCACTGATCACTGGCACCGCATCCCAAGTAATTACAGTAAGAACAGAAAAACAGATTTCCACAGTTTTTGGATAAAACATCTTAGTGTTCCTTCACACCTCCTGGTGGTAAAATCTATGAGCTGAACTTATTGAAGTACAAATAAGTAAGAATAAGATCATCAGTTATAATTCTTCAAAACATTAATGGTTCATCCTATTTTCTTGCCCTAAACAGGAGTTCAGGTCTGCTAACACTGATGGCATAACCAACCAAGACCATAAAAGCTTTACAGACAGCAACAAGGGCAAAACCTTCTTTTGCCGAAGCCAGAATTCAGTTCAAACAAAAATGCATGAGAACAAAATCAGAGTAACCATCCAGGCTGACAACTTAAAGTCGTAACACACCCTCAGATCAAGATGTTTTTTCACCTGACATACGCTAAGTGCTCCTGGCAGCTGCTAACTGCTTCTGTGGCATCAGTGCTGATGCTGGGAGCACAGCCTGATATCTCCTTTTGTTCTGCTCGTTCAGCTCCACTGCACCGTTCAGCAGGATGTAGTGGGAAAAAAGAACCAGCTTCTCATGTTCAATCTAAATAACAGTAAAGAATAAAACATGTTGAAAAGCCACCAGCATGCCGAGAATAAAGAAAACCTGAAGCAGAACCTTATAATAAAATACACATCACTTTCAAACATCCTGATAAGCATCCAAGATGAGCTCCCGTCCCTGGTTTGGCTGATATGAAGCCTTGTTCAGGCAGGTGTGTTCAGGACATCTGAAGACACTCACCCTGTTAAAGCGTTTGGCCTGGAAGAGGTGTCCGTTGACTCGATAGAGCTTCCTCCATCTTCTGGCCCCGCGGCGGTAGATCGATTCTAAAAGAGAGATAAAACAGTTGTAGAGCAGCAGCATGGCGAGATGGTGAGAGACTAATGAGGAGGAAAGCGAAGCCGGAGAGGAGGAAGATGCAGCGATGAGCTGAAGTTGAGCGGAAGGTCCTGCAGTTCTTCCTGTGTGTGAAATCTGAGTTCAAGTGAGGGGAAGACAACAATCAGGTTACTCCACAGTGAAGATGCACCATCACACACACACCCATCCAGAGCGCCTCCCTCCCTCCCCCGCTACACTCCCCCTCCATCCTCCACCTAGACTACTGGCTTCCTTCATCTCTCCTTGTTCCTTCCCTTCTTCCAGACCTCCTTCTCTCCTTTCATGTCACCCCTGCTGATGGATGGGCTTATCAGCGCTCCGTAACGCCTTTTATTCAAAGAAAACGAAGAAGCTGTAGCTATTTATACCAGGACCCTGTAGTCAGCTATTAATAAACTGCAGGGCATTAACATGAGTCTTGCAATGTGCTAAAATTTGCTCATTTTGTCCTCACGCAGTGTTTAGAAAAACATTTCACACAAAGTTTCACTGGGATTCGTCAGTATTTTTATCCTATGAAACAGTCCTGTGATACACTTAGATTATTATTATTTCATTTGTTCAGATTGAATAAGAATTACCGACCATTTTCAATCACTTCAAAGTAAATATAAACTATGAAAAGTAAGCCATAAACAAATATAAATGTGCTAAGTCCTCTGTCTACACTTTTTAATGGCAATCAGTATCCAGATGGACACGTCAGCTCCCCACAAGTGGAGCAAAAGTATTTCAGGAACTGACATCTGCTGCTGATGATGTCATCTGCAGCCGAGGTCTGTGCACCAGTCACCTGGGGACACATCAGGGCGTTGCCTCCTGCCTGGTCCTGAACACTAACCTGAGAGCACCTCCACTGTGAGAAAAAGCAGCAGGTGCATAGACAGGTAACCATCCATCATCTACACACCGTCACACTTAGAGACAGACAACCAAGCACACTCACATTCACACCTACGGACAATTTACAATCACCAATTAACCTCAGCATGTTTCTGGACTGTGGGAGGAAGCCGGAGAACCCGGAGAGAACCCACGCTGCACGGGGAGAACATGGAGACTCCACGCAGAAAGATCCCGGGTGTCCTCACCGGGACGTGAACTGGCGACCTTCTAGCTGTGAGGCCACGGTGCTAACCACTGATCCACCTGCAGCCCGGCAGGTAACTAGTGGTGTGAATTTATTTGATCAAGAAAAGTTTATAGAAAGTGTCCAAGACAGTTGAAAGCACCAGGACTGGGCTGTGTGGCTTTTCAGTCTCATCTCCAACCAGTCCTGCTGCTAGAGGATAGAAAACAGGCCCAACAAATGCACTGTTTCATCCCATATTTGATAAAAAAACAAAAAAAGACAAAGGCCACTTCTATTAAATATGTAAACAAGCCAGAAAGTAGTGAATGCACTGACTAGTGTTCTAAATTGCTCAAACTTAAACAAACTCAAATCTCTCTTTGGCCTGATAAACATCCACGTCTTTCCAACTCCATGCCCCTTGTCCAGAATGTAAAGCCTTCCAGCCCAACATAATGTGAACATAATGTGAACATAATGTGAACAAACAGCAGCATTTCTACAAATCAATAAACTACCAGACATCATGCTTGTGTTGTCTTCTGCTGTTTACAAAAAAAGTCAAATAAAACATCAGCAGTAAGTGAACCATACAGGCCCTGCCCTCCTGACTCCCACTAATTATTCATTAGCCACCATCCCAGTGCCTCCCCCCAGTCTGCACTGGTTTTCCAGTCTGGTTGGTTGCTCCAGCGATGGGTGCGGCTGTGATATTCTCCTCTACTCCCTCGTTTTTTGCCTCTGTTGCTATGGTAGCCCAAGCCCGCCATACACCAGCTATTATTAGTTAGCTGTGAGGATGTCAAGACGACTTTGTCCGCCAATAACAGCGCATCTCAACAACAAATCCCCCTTTGTCCACTTCTAAAAACCCACTCTGCCATCATGAAGAACAAGGTTAAGCACACTGTATATTAGATTTGCTGTTTATCTCTTGAGCGACGGATCTCTTCATATTTCCATACCCTGGGGTGAACTCTGGGTCCAGATGGTTTTAACAGGGGGCCATCTAGTCTGACTCACTGATGAGGATTCTGGGTATAAAGCTGCCATTTGTGCCACATTTCCTCTGTTTGTGTGATTCCTTTTTCATGATCCCTTCCACTATAGGACACAGGAGCAGCAACCTAAACACTGATAACGGTGAGATCTAGATGATGTAGTCTGTCTGTAAATTAGCCATTTTAATAACAGTGCTCGCCTCGCTTCATGTAAATGTTCCACTCTGTCTGTTCTCCCTCCCATATACATATGACATCGTTTTTGGCAAGCAGATAGAGTTTGTTTCCTTCTGAACACATGCACTCATAGAGACGGGGATTTAAAACACTTGAGGTACCAACCGAGGCAACACTACAGCATCATTTCAGAAAGCTATCACCGGTCTAATGTCACCGTCGCTGAGGTCTCTCCTGTCTAAACCGTCCATTAGCAGCCGTACCTTCCTTCTCTCTGGCATTATGATCAGTGTTTCAGCGGCTCCAGATTCTTTCTGCCTCTCTCTGGGTCTCCCTCGCTGCTCAGATCAGAGTGAAAGCGAGCAGAGGGGAGACACAAAGAGGCCCTGCTCTTTAGGGCCTCGACTGTGAATTCTCTCTAATCCTGTTAAGTCGAGCCCTTTAAAGAAAAGTGCCGCCTGCCTCTGAGAATCACTGCAGTGTGTTTCCATAGTTACCCAGTATTTCTTCCCCTGCACTGGTACTGGTGGGTGAGGGAGGCGGCCGGGGGGGTGAGACGATGTGAGGAGAAGTGTGACGAAGGTGAACCTGGAGATCTCATGACGCGCCGCATGCCCACATCGGACGCTAAACACAGCGCATGCCATTAAATAATTAACTGCGACAGATGTTTTGACAGAGTTGTGAATTGCAGCTCAGCGTCTTTCATCAGAGTGTTGATGAAGAGATGAGCGGTTAGATAGAAGATCTAAAACACACGAGTAAAGAGTTTTCTCTTAAACGTGTGTTTATCTTCCATACGGCTGGTCTGAGTCACTCCATTAACACATTTATTTATAACTGTATTATTCTAGGGAGTAACCGGCTTTTACGATTCAAACCCTGGATAAGCTGAATGCAGACAAACCTCTGAAACCGTCCACTGTTATCAGGACTAGTCTAGATGTTGAACAAGTTACTGGTCACTGTCATGCATAAAATAATAATACTACTACTTGTGCTATACAAATACACCTGCTTTGCCTAAAGTCGGTAACAAATTAAACTAATTAATTTAACCCATACTAGAAAACAAATGATTGGACAGATGACATTCCAGTCTCTATATTTTAAATGTGTTTTTAATTAACCATATTTCTGTCCTGGTTTCAATGTAGAGCGACTAAATTCAACTATTTACTCGTTTCAAAGGCCCAAAGGCTAAAAATATATATACAATATTGGCTCAAAAATCTGTTCATTTTAGTGGTTTCTCGTCCATTCCTTCATGTTTTACCCACAGTCATGCGGCTATCAGCTGTAAAACAGCAAATGACAACATCTTGAATCCCCTCTAGTGATAACAAAGGTTGTTGCTTTAACAGTAATTTGTGGATTAGGAGAGTTAATGAGGTCTTATGCACATCTTAGTTGGATCCCTCGCAGCCTGAAGGCGATGCAAACCAGAAACGCCGCCGCCGCCGCCGCCGCCTCACACACACTTGCAACACACCACTTGCACTTGACTAGCAGACCTTCAAAAAGCTGACCTATTACAACATCCCCCTCAGGAGCACATCGAGTGTTGCATTGCCCCATTTTTCTGCCAAGGTGCCAGAATGAGAGTAAGAAAGACGCAGAGCAAAGGAACAAAGCAAGCGAGTCAGAAGCAGCTCTCAGATTACGAATCAAAACACAATACTACACCTCCGGATGCAAAGGCCAGCGCGCACAGTCCTGCCATTTTGTCCGCTGAAGGTATAAAGAACTGCAGACAGCCTGCTGGTGATATACTGTAGATTATGTGGGGAGCCGTGGAGCAGGACGACAGGGTGGTACTACCAAATCTCTCCAGGACAGGACATTTACGAGGGTTTGACTCACTTCCAGACATTGTTCCTCTCACTCACAGGAAAGTAGCAGCATACAAGTTGCTACCAACAACACCCGCCCCTTTGCTTAAATACCAACAAAAAAAAAAAAGAGAGAGAGAGAGAAGGCATCAAGACGGAGAATGCTCTGTATTGTGTTTTCAGAAGGTTCCTTAGGGATCAGCAGCTGTACTCCACAGTGAAGGATGTGCCTCTGTCAGGGTGGAACTAACTTACCAACGTTTAGGCATTTTCTGGACACTGTCCCACTTGTTAAAGGCTTTTATATAAAGCAAGGTTATTACTGGCTTCCACTTTCAAAGAAGCTGAAAGGGATCAATGAAACAGGCCTGAGGCGTTTTTAGACACAATTAGACCTTTGTGACGGAGACTGTTGAGCGGTGCCATGACTAAATTTGCTAGTTTGGCTGTTAAATAAAGCATTTGTTCGCTTGTCCTTTAATCACCACGTTCCAGATAAAGACGGAGACCACAGACGTTGCAAAGTGCATGAAATTACAAAAGACATCCAATTTAAAGTTTGGACAGCCCACGCTGATGCGGTTTTGGGAGCCGGTAAGGGCTTTTGAGCGCCATCAGTGTTTTCTGAAATGGATATGGTAGGAGGCAGCCATAGACGGACTGGATGACAGCGTAGACAAACGAGTGTGTGGGATCCTCTGGACTGCAGACGGTGTTACATGTTGATGAGTCAGACGGTCTGGGTGACGCCATGGCAACTGATCTACCACCATGTTACCCCTGCACCCATATCTGAGATGTGAGGCGTGTGCAATGTGTTCAAAGCATGGAATCGTTTCTATAAATTGGGCCCTGAGGCCACC